TAATGGGGAAGTCAAGTCATGGCTCCCAGATTGTAAATGCCTCAGGAGCTCAGAGGAGAGAAAGCAGGTTGCTACAGCTTTGGGTGTTCAGGGAAGGCTTTCTGAAGGTGGTCCTAGAGCTAGGTCTTGGAGGATGAATAGGGAAGGAGGAAGAAAAAAGGGCTTGGATCAGGGGATGGGGAGAAAGTAGGATATATCCTCTGGGTTAGTTCCCCTTCCCAATTCTAGGTGCCTTCCCTCTTCTGCAACTTGCCCTCCCCACCAGTGTCTCTGAGAGCCTGGGGTGCTTTGGTTAGTGAGACTCTGTACCCCTGAGCAGTCATCTCAGATTTCAGGGCTTGGCCTGGGTGGTCCAGGCTATTGGGAGGGGGGGTGTCTGTTCCTAGCCCTTCAGAGAGCAAAGAGAGGTCCCTAGGACTCATTTGACAGGCAACCTGGGTTATCTCCAATTGGCCTGTGGGGAGGCCCCTGATTGGCCACTTGCTGAGGAGCCACTCTGTTGCCGTGGCGATGCCCAGGCTGACAGCAGCCCGGGTGTGTTACATGTGCCTGTGAGCTGGGGAGTAAGTCTCCCTAATCCTTCCAAGAGGGAAAAAGGTGGAGGGGCCCTGAGGTTCCCTTGGGAGCCTAGGCTGACCCTGGAAGGTGGGGAAGGGGAGTGGGATGGAATTGCCTAGCAGTGAATCAATCTCTCTCTCTCTCTCTCTCTCTCTCTCTCTCTCTCTCTCTCTCTCTCTCTCTCTCTCTCTCTCTCTCTCTCTCCCTCTCCCCCTCCCTCCCTCCCTCCCTCCCTCCCTCCCTCATGCTTAAAGGAAGGCAAGCTATCTCCCTCCCCAAACAAACACTAGCAGATTCCACCCCTCTCCCTGATTTAGCTGGGGTCGCAGGGAGAAGAGTTGGACGTGAGGATAAGCATGATTATGTGTGCCAAATTCGGCACGCAGATAGGTGGGGTGTGGACCCAGGCCAATGCAGACTACATCCTCCCCTCTCCCCCCAACCCCCCAGCATCATCCAAAGGACAACATTCCTAGTCTCACCTTTAACTGGTATTTATTGATGCCTGCTTGGCTGTATGTAGAGCACAATGGTAGGCACCAATGATGGCACCCATTTTTCTAGCACTCTAAGATTTACAAAATGCTGTCTTCCTCACAGCACTGTGGAGATGACACTATGTATAAATGTGAGTTGTTATCATTGTCAGCTCATGTTTGTACCCGCTGCCTGACTCAGAGCATTGTGAGTCCCTTCCCTTCCTTGTAAACTTTTAACTTCTGTAGAGCCAGGAGGTGTTTTTCTATAATAGTTTGAGATTCACCAAAAAAATGATATAAATTGACTCCTCATGGAATGTACCCAAGAATACTGGGCTTAGAGTCTTTGGACCTGAATTCAACTACCGGCAGTTATGTGCTGGTGAATAAGTCACCCAACCTCCCGGGCTGTTTCCTTATCTTTAAAAATTGATGATTGGGATCCCTAGTCCACTGACCTTGATGTGTTATGTAGGATAAGGAGGTTTAGAACTGGAAGGGATAGGGCCTTAGACATCAACCTTTAATTTTACAGGTAAGGAAACTGAGGCCCAGAGGGAAAGTGATTTGTGGGTACATGGCCAAGTTAGAAGCAGAATAATTTTGAACCCAAGTCTTCTGATTCCAAATCTAGTGCTTTTCCCACAAAACCTCTAGGTTGTTGTGAGAAAAGTATTTTGTAAATGATAAAAGTACAGTACATGTGGGCTAATAATAATAATACCACCAACCCAGGGACCCTCTCCCCCATTCACACACTCACAACTCACTCTCCCTCTTCCTCCCTAACTCCCCCCCTGCTCTCTCTCCTTTCTCTCCTCTCTCCCTTCCCCCTCTCCCTCTCTCCCCCTCCCCCTGCCTCTCTCCTCCAGGGACACAAGGCAGCCAGAAAGGATACCCATTGCCACTGCTAGCTGGAGTGGGGGAGGGAGGTGGAGAAGGGAGGGCACTTAAAGCCAGTGGTGGGCATCCGGCTGGCCACATTCGGCTGCTTAATCCGATCAGCACAGGGGGGATGGGAATGTGAAGGGAAGAGGAAGAAGGGAGGTTTTATAAGGTTGGGAGCAGGCAGGAAGGGTGGGGGGGAGAGTATAAGGGGAGGGAAGCTTAAGGACCCAGAATGGGTACAGCTTACACAAGAGGGGAAGAAGGGAGAGATATGGATTTATGTTGAGTCCAGGGTATCCCCATTGTGACTGCCAGAGCCCTGTTCAGCTACAAGGCTTCCCTTCAAAGTTCTCTGTAGTGGCCTCATTAAAGTTTACCCATCACCCCAAGGGAAAGGGAAAGATCCAGCTGATAGTGGTAGCCAGAGCCCTTTTCCCCTCCTCTCCCTCCTCCTCCTCCGCCCCCTCCTCTTCCCCCTCCCCCTCTCGTTCCCCTTCCTCCTCCTCCTTCCCTCCTCCCTTCCTTCCTTCCCTCTTCCCCCACTCCCTCCACCCGGACACACATACACCTTTGGACTCCCTGCACATGCGCCACAGTTCCATATGTCACGGTGACACGAGGCTGCTCCCGGCTGCCTGACCCCCCCATTGTCCTGCCAGGGGAGTGAGGATGCAGGGAACAGGAAGCGGAGCGGGGGGGGACCGCCATCTGCCTGTGGCTCAGAGCAGCAGCAGCGGTGGTGGCGGCGGCGGCAGCAGCAGCAGCGTCTTTGTTTGGATCCCGGCTGGGGCCGTGGATGTTTCTTAAGGAATCGCTCCCAAAGTCCTCGCTCTTTGGCCCTTGCAAAGCTCTGCTGGGTGAAATAAAGGATTTGCTGTGTGTTGGGGGTGGGGGGAGTGAGTGAGGAGGGAGGATGGAGCAGGAAGAGGGAATCCACAGGGGGAGGAAGATATTAGGGGGAGGAGGGAGGACCAGACTACTCCCATCTTGACCAGGATATCCCGTCTTTTTTTTTTTTCTCTCTCTCTCTCTCTCTCTCTCTCTCTCTTTCTCCTTCTCTGCCTCTAGGGTGTGTCCACACAGATACAGGCAGCTCCCTCTCCTCCCCCCATCCCTGTCAGAGATTGTACCCGTAAGCTGACACTGTGGGGAGGTGTGTAAGGGAGAAGGTAGAGAGGCTGACTCCCTGAACCAGAGCTGGGAGGGAGGGGTTTGTGCTGAGTGTCAGTATATGTGTGTGTGTGCATGCGTGCCAGAAAGAAGGGGAGAGGGAGAGAGAGAGAGAGAGAGAGAGAGAGAGAGAGAGAGAGAGCGCGAGTGAGCGCAACAGAGAGACAGAGAAGCTGTTCATGACCCAGAATGTGGGTGGCTGTGTTTGCAGGATAGCTAGTAGAAAGATTGTGTGCATGAGCCAGAGGGTGGGTAGGTTACTCTGTGTGTGTGTGTGTGTGTGAGTGAGAAAGAGAGAGAAAGAGAAAGACAGACAGACGAGGCAGAGGCCCGTGCCCAAGGGGAGGGAGACAGCTAGGAAGAAGGAGGTGGGAGGCTACTTTCTCCCTCCCCAGGGTGACAAGACAATGGGGACCCTTCCTTAAGGTAGTGGGGGTGGGGGCGGCGAGAAAGGAAGAAGCTGAGTTGGAGGTACATGGGGGGGGATGCAGTGGCAGGTGGGTGTGGGAAGAAAAGGACTGTGCAGAGTAAAGGGGGCTAGTGTGGGAGGGGAAGGAGTGGTTTGGCACTCCTGAGATGGAGGAAGATTGTAAGCACGGGAGTGAAGGGACTGTCTCTACCTGCGGAGTTGGGGGCTGTGAGCCAGAGAAAGCAGCCGTGCTGGAGAAGGGGACATGAGAGGCAAGACCGAGAGGGTTCAGGACAATAATTTGGAGCTAGGTGTGAGAAACTGAGTTAAGCCGAGGGAGAGAGCAGGAGAAAGGCTAAGGTCTGTGGCTGCCTGCCCACCCAGAGGGCTTCATGGAGAGGTTATTAGGAAGATGCGTTCAAGAAGGCACTGGGGTGAGTGAATCTTTGTCAAAGGAGATAACATTTCAATTCTGAGACTCTAATGGGGCCTCCCACTATTTCCCTAATAGGTGCCATGGTGACAGGCGCTGTAAGAAATACTTAGATGAGAGTGTTGGATCTAAGGCTCAGGAGAGAGCCCTGGCCATCCCTGGGGCCCCTCCCAGCTCTGTCTTCAGAGCAGAAGGTCCATTAACTCAGGGGCTGGGAGTTTGGTTCGCTGGGTTTGGGGGAGAGGAAGCCACAAGAGAGAAGAACCTTCTCTCTCTGAGTGGAAATGCTGCCCCTGGCTCCAGCCTTTTTGGTACCATTAGGAGTCTTGATGAAAGGAGTGTGTGGGGTCTTAAAGGAAAGAAAACCAAGGAGGGGAGAATTCTCTCTCTCTCTCTCTCTCTCTCTCTCTCTCTCTCTCTCTCTCTCTCTCTCTCTCTCTCTCTCTCTCTCTCTCTCTCTCCCTCCCTCCCTCCCTCCCTCTCTCCCTCTCCCTCCCTCCTTCTCTCTCCCTCTCTCCCTCTCCCTCCCTACCTCTCCCTCCCTCCCTCTCCCCCTTCCCCCTACTCTTTCCCTCTCTCTTTTATCCTCTTCCTCTTCTCCCTCCCACCTTCTCTTTTTTCTGCTCTCCATATGTCTGTCTATCTGTCTGTCTCTCACTCTCTCTTTTACCTATCCTATTGATGTGAATCCGTCAGCTGCAAGGATCAGGAGTTATCTACCCTCCTTGGTCCTGTCCCACCACTGTCTTTGCCAACTAGGGACGTGGGTTTTGTTCCTCTTCATTAAGGGTGAAGCTTTTCACCCTCTTCTTTTGAGCTGGGGATGCTGGGGTGGGGCCGGTCAGCAGACAGGCTTTGCCACAGGCTTGCTTCATGGCCTTGGATGTTTCCCCCCTGAGCCCCAGTTTTCCCTTCTGTGAAACGAGAGGATTGAATGATCATTAATCTTCCTTTCCAGATCCTATGACATGCCTGAGTCCTGGGGAAAGTGGATAGGCCCATTGGGCAGCTCCAGGGCGAGGCTTTGACTGGGGGCCCTAAATCTCTGCCCCTCTTGTTTCAGATGACTCCTCGTCAGAGAGTTGCAGTGGGAACGGCTCCTCGACGTTGAACCCCTCCACCTCCAGCAGCACCCAGGGGGACACCTCATTCCCCGAGATGAACGGTAATGGCGCTGTGGCCCCCATGGACTTCACAGCCTCGACGGAGGACCAGCCTATCAACCTCTGTGACAAGCTCCCCGCCTCTCATCTCCCCACCTCTTACCCAGCAGACAGCTGCAGCGCCGACGGGCTTCGAAGCAGGGTGAAGTATGCTGTGAAGACAACCCCAGAGGTAAGTCTGAATGACAGGGACTGACAGACCATGGGCCCAAATGGAGGCTGTGGCCCACAGAGTCATGGGCCTCCTTTCCTCCCCTCCATATAGTATGGATTCCAGGAGATTGAGAGTCCTCTTGCAGTAGAAACTATCATTCCTGTAGATTTAGGGTGCTGGGCTCAGAGCCTGCAGAAGGAAGATAGCAATAAAAACAGTTTCTTTTTACACTTCTGTAGGTCTTTAAGGTTTTCAAAGGAGGAAACTAAGGTGCAGGAAAGCAAGCTATCTTGCCCACTCCATGTCTAGGTCTCGTTATTTGACACTAGACTGCAGATACATCCTTCGGGGGGAAAAGTACTTTCCCACCTTGGCTTTTATTTTAGGTCATAACAGCCCCATAAAGGCAGTAGGAGCAGACATTCATACCCCTGTTTTTGAGTTGAAATGGAGAAAGGAAGCCTGACTCACCCAAAGTCACACAATTCATGATCAGACCTCAGACCTCAGTCCCAGGCCATTGGCCAGAGTGTCCATGGTGCCAGGTCATGGCTGCTCCCTTCTCCACTGGACAAAAGCCAGCAAAGAAGGTTCCTCTGCCCCATGGTCATCTGCATCCTCCGAACTCCCAAACTATACCTTACTTTGGATCGTGGTATCATAGATTTAGATCTGGAAGGGGACCTTAGAGACCATTTAGTCTCACCCCTTAATTTTCACAGATGAGGAAATCGATGTCCAGCAGGGTTAAGTAACCAGAGGAGGAATGGAAAAGCTGGGATTCCACCCCAGGAAGTTGGACTCCAAATCAGGGTGCTGCCTCACAGGGTTCTGGTAAAGTGGATAGAGTTGTTGGCTTAGACTCAGGAGGGACCTGAGTTCATATCCTGCCTCAGACACTTACTAGCTATGTGATCCTGGGCTAGTCCCTTAACTGCTGTATGCCTCAATTACCTCATCTATAAAATGGAGATAATAATAGCACCTGCCTTACAGAGTTGTCAGCATCAAATGAGATCGCATACTTTAAGTGCTTTACAAACTTGAGCATGCTATATAAATGCTATCTAGTAGTAGTAGTAGTAGTAGTAGTAGTTGTTGTTGTTGTTTGTAAGCCTGAGACGTTAATGATGATGACCATGTCTCCAACTAGTCTGTATGAATTTAGGCCCAGTGTGGGGGGGTGGCGCTGATGGCATGGCTGAGCCAGTAGTGATATCCCAATCATCAAGTCTGAACTCAGGTGCCCCATGAGCTCATGGCAGCATGAAGGGAATAAGATTCCCTTAGAGTCCAGGAAAGTTACCCTTGGCAGCTCCTAAGAACCATCCTCGTGTTGGGGGATTGGAGGTGGAGGAGAGGCCTGATGTCTGCTTAGCAGGAAGCCTGAAGTAGTCAGGAAAGAGGGCGCCAGCTCCATTCTCTCAGGCCAGCTTTTGTGGCCTTGGGACAAGAGAGGCGGTTTGTCTGCCCTTGGCAGTGGCCTCTTCAGAAAACAGACTGTCATTAGATTCCAGGAGCTGGCGGATAACAGAGAAGAAGGAGCCACGAACGCATAGATTCAAGGCCCTGCTTAGTTGAGAGCTTCCTTCCTACTCTAAGTCCCATGCACCATTCACTTGACTTATTGCCTGCCTAAAAGAATCCTGGGAATCGGCACTGGCGAGAGATTGGATGGTAAGCCCCATGTTGTTGGACAGCTGGCTGCTGTGGCCTGATCGCCTGGAGTCTGAACCAGTCACCAGACTTGAGGGGAGGCAGGACAGCATGAAAACACACATCAAGGTCTGGAGTAAATCAGAGGCAGCAGAAAGGCCATGAGCAGAGAGCTTGGAGATGAGGATTTGGGTTTGGGTTGTTAGGTCAGGAAGCTGGGACCTGGACACTGTGGAGGTCAGGGAGGCTTTCTGGAAGAATTTGGGATCTGGGATCAGGAGACCTAGGTTCAGGCCCCACCTATGTCACTACGTTGCTGTGTGACCTTGAGTGAGTCATTTTACTTCTCTCCATCTACACAATGTGGGGCAGTTGAGGGAACATAGGACTAGATGATCTCTTAAGGTCCCTTCCAGCCCTGAAACTATGTGATTCTATGACTGTGAGTAGTTTACTGGTAGTTTACTTACCCTGCTGTAATCTCAGTTTCCTCATCTATAAAATGTAGATGATGTGGAACATTGGTAAGAGCCCTGGCTCCAGACTCAAGAGGACCTGGGTTCAACTCCTGTGCCCAATCCTTACTCCTTGTGTGGCCTTCACTTCTCCACTTCCTCATCAGTAAAATGAGGGCTTGGACAAAATGGTCTCCAAGGTCCCTTCTGGCTCAACTCTGATTGCCTATTCTATAGGGCCTTTTTTGTGAGGGTTGGAGGCTTTAAAGGGTGAGGGGCAGCAGGCCTTAAAGACTGGGAAGTAATGAGTGTCAGTTGAACTCGGCATGAATGAGCAAGTGTGTGTTGTCAGAAAAGGAGCAGGCAGCAGCCGATGCATTTTGTCTCGGCCGTGGCTGTGTGGTCTTAGGGGCAAACACTGGCTGGAGCCAAGCTCCATGTTCTTGAGATTGTGACAACCAGCTTTCTCTGATTAGTGCCTCCACCTAGCAATGTGACCAGCCAGGGCTGCCCTTTAGAGTCCATAGCAATGAATGGGACAGTGGACACCAGCCAGGTGGATGGGAGAGAAGAAATCCATTTGACCCTAAACCTCTAGCTGGAAGGGATCTTAGAAAGCATTTAGTCCTAACCCCTCATTCTATAGATTGGAAAACTGAGGCCCAGAGACACTGAGTGATTCACTGGAGGTCATGTAGTCAGACAAAGCTGGGATTTAAAGCCAGGTCCTTTAGCTTCCAAATTTAAAGCTCTTGCCATGGTTCCACAGTCTTGGTTTTTAGAAGGACTCTTTGTACACTGGGTAATAGTAGTTCACCTTCTGTAGTCTTTACATTTTAAAGAACACTTTCTTCACCATACCTATAAGTATTATTACCCCCATTTTGCAGACACAGAAACTGAGGTTCAGAAAAGGACAGTGGGACCACTGCTTAGCAGAAGTCATGTTGGAGCCAAGATTCAAACCCATGACTTTCTACATCCAGGGTTCTTTCCCCTGTACTCTTGTGCCTCTCTCTGTGTGGTCCCTGATTCCTAGCGGGTTGTGTCGGGGGTCGTGAACAGGAGCCAGGAAAGTGAGGAGAGAAAGGCAGCAAAGTCCACACAGACGGTCCTGAATCAGGATCTCCGGAGTGTAGGCGGGTAGCCGTGTGCTTAGAGTGGGCACCGTGGGGGTGGGCACCCCCGGAGAGATAACTGCCCAGTGGTTTTCATTCATTTTTCCCCCTTGCCAGCCATTAGTTCACTTGTCCCTTTACCAGTTTGTTCATTCAACTTAGCTCAAGCTCCTACAATGTGCCCAGCCCTGTGTAACATGACGGAGATGCCAGCTAGAAACTGTCCATGCCTCAGAGGCTGCACCTGACCCTAGCCAGGGACACAAGATGTGCAGGCCAAACAGAAGTGGTGCCTCGATCCAAGGAGGAAGGGACAATGAAGAGGAAAGCACCACAGCCCAAGGGTCTGTCCCAGGGCAGTCTGTGCTGAGGATTCCAGGAGGGCAAGAGGCAGGAAGTATTGTGAGGCAAGAGGAGGAAAGGAGAGAGATCCTTGGGAGGGCAGGGAAGGCTTCTTGGAGGAAGGGGCTTGAAGGAGAACCAGGATTGGGTCAGTACCTTTAGGAGAGGAGGAGCTGTCTTTCTTGTTGTAGTCTTAGGAGAGAACTTTCTTTGGGGAGGTCCCTGATACTTTTTTATGTGTATGTATGTTTTTTTTTTAATTTGATGCCAAAGGGATTTTATATCAGATTCATTTGTATTTATTTACCTATTCTTGTCATTGTTTCTTTCTTACATATTACTGATACAGGTCCAGGTAATAGTAGTTCCATCCTCAGGGACAGATATTATTAAGAAAAGTGTTGCTCATAGAGTAATAACAATAGCTCACATTTATATGGCTCTTTAAAGTCTGCAAAGGACTTTGATCCTCACAACATCTCTGTGAGTTTGATGATATTATTGTCCCCATTGTATAGATGTGGAAACTGAGGCTGAGAAAAGTTTAGTAACGCATAGCTGATAAGTGTTTCAGGTAGGATTTGAAGCTAGGTCTTCCTGACTCCAAGTCCAGCACTATACTCATTGTGCCCAAAGGGCTGCCCTGCTGTCTGTGAAGTGCTAAAAGAACCAGAGAAATACCACTCAGCACATTAGATAGACAGATCCTCAGGGGAAGGAGGACTTATTGGAAAGAATTGTACCGGGTCTGAAGGTACAGGTGGGCTTCACAATGCACCAGTGGGGCTTGGCTCCTGGATCCATTGATTATACGGGGTGTCTCAAAAATCTGAGTGCGGCTTTAATCTAACCCCAATTCTGAGCTTTAGCTTAAAGCTGCACTAAGACTTTTGGGACAGATACCCCACCCCACCCACCTTAGCTTAAAACTGCAGTAAGACTTTTGGAATACCCTGGCGCGCCCCCCCCCCATGTTTTTAAGCTTAAAACTAAGTACTGAAGTACTAAAACTTTAGGGACCTCCTGCATAACTTAATATACCTAGAACAGTACTTCTGTCACTCAAAGGCCCCTTCCACATCTTAGTAGAGAGTCACACACTGCCATGGCCAGAACAGATTCTTCTCCTGCCAGCCAAATCCCTGATGACGAGCTTCTCTGTGGTTAACTCATTTACTCCTCAAATGACAGACACATATGGTGCAACACTTCCACGCACCACTGGCGTTTCTCAGATGGTGCGAAATGCCCCCCTACCCCCACCAATGGGCCATTGTCCCGTTGTACACAGATACCAACCTCCTGGTCTGTATCAGTTAAGAGCCATGCACTCCTCAGGAGCCGCCCATTGTGAAACCTGGGTGAGGCAGAGAAGAGGTAAGAGCCGGAAAGCCTTCCTCAGGAGGGGAGGGCGTGCACAGCTCAGAGGGAACACCTTACAAAATAGCAGAAAGTAACACACATTGTGGCCTGTGTGCAGGAGAATAAGCAGAGCAGTCTGGTTCAGTTCTTACTTTCCACCAGACTGTGGAAGACCTTAAGTCCTGTTGGTGGGTGTCAGGTCACAGTGTATTTGGCCTCTGTCCCACGTACCTTCTCAGTAAACTAAATCCTGCCTTCTTCCATTGCTGGTAGAGGTAAATCAGTGTTTCAGGTAGGATTTGAACCCAGGTCTTCCTGACTCAAAGTCCAACACTATATGTACTGTGCCCAAAGGGCTATACTGCTGTCCGTGACGTGCTAAAAGTACCAGAGAAAGGCCATAGAGGTTTTAAAAAGAAGCCAGTGCTGGGAGTTACCCTAAATGTGGTCCCTGCCTCTCCTCAATTAGGACAGATCCATGATATTAGGCATGAAGTGTAAATTTGTGGATCATCCCTCCCGGGCCCTGTCCAGCAGATGAAGACTTTCTGAAGGGAGCAGCCTGTACTAGAACAGGGCCATGGAGCCGACAGGGGAACACTGGCATTACCACTTTCACTCCCCTCTCCCATGCCTTCCTATTTTTAAAAATAAATTTTATCCCTTCATTTTTTTTTCTCCCTCTCACCTCCTCCCCCTCAACTGGGAAAACAAAAAAACAAAACTAAGCAAATCCCTTGTAACAAATGAACACAGTAAAGCAAAACAAATCCCCACATTAGCCATGTCCAAAAATATGGGTCTCATTCTGCATCTTGAGTCTATTCCCTCTCTGTCAGGAGGTGGGCAATGGCCTTCAGCATCAGTCCTCTGGAATCATAGATGATCACTGCAGTGATCAGAGTAATTAAGTCTTTCAAAGTTTGCATTTACAATGTTGTTGGTTTAGTATAAATTACGCCCCACATTGGGTGCATCTCCTTGGGCAGCTAGGTGGTGCAGTGGATGGAGCCCTGGGCCTGGAGTCAGGAAGACTCATGTTCCTGAGTCCAAATCTGGCCCCAGACACTTACCAGCTGTGTGTCTCTGGGCAAGTCACTTAACCCTATTTGTCTCAGTTTCCTCAACTATAAAATGAGCTGGAGAAGAAAATGGCAAACCACTCCAGTATCTTTGCCAAGAAAACCCCAAATGGAATCAAGAAGAGTTGTACATGATCTAAAAACAACTCAGCAATAGTTTCCTGGTTCTGCTAACTTTACTCTGCATCGGTTCACACAAATCTTTTCATGTTTCTCTTAAACTTTCTCTTTATTTCTTACAGCACAATACTATCCCATTGCATTCATAGATCACAATTTGTTCAGCCATTCCCCAACTTATAGACACACCTTTACCTTCCATTTCTTTGCCACTGCAAAAAGAGCTACTACAAATATTTTCATGCATTTAGAACCTTTTTCCCCTCTCTCTGATCTCTTTGGGCTGTAGGCCTAGGAGTTATATCGTTGGGTTAAAGGGTATGCACAGTTCAATAACTTTTTGGGCAGAGTTCCAAACTGTAGTCCAGAATGACTGGACCAATTCACAGCTTTGCCAACAGTGCATCAATGCTTCACTCTTATTTTTAAGTACAGAATCTTGTTGTTTTTTACAAAATATCGTTGCTGAGCCATTTGGTTCTCCTTTCAGATTGAGAGTGGATTCTGTTATTTAGCATCAACTCCATTGTCAGTTTGGGATTGTGCTTTACTTTGGGATCAGGGCAGCCACTGGCAGAGGGAGAAGTCATTGGCCAAATACAGACCTTAAAGGGAAAAAGAGGGGAAATGGACAGTGGGAGGCTGGCCAGCAGCAGGAATCTTTTCTTTGGCAATCCTCCAAAGTATCTGTGCTTCTCCTGAAACCATGTTCTGCTCTCCTTTTTACACTATCCTACATGTAAAGACACTGCATAAATACTTGTTGATTTAAGAACAGGTCAAGAGAGAATACAAACTCTTCAGGAAATAGGGTAGTTTAAATCACTGCCTATTGTACACATGGTAAAATTGAGGCCCTGAGAGAGACCTGGCCCCAGCAAGTTGTTGGCTGAGCCAGAATTCAAATTTGGGCTCCCCAGGACTCCAGCCAACCATAGAAGTCCCACAGAGTCAAGAATATGAGGCAGAGACTTTGAGTAAGGATATATCCCAAAGTCAGGTCTCAGTTTCCTCATCTCTCAAATAGGGATAATCCTACACACCCCATGTCACAGTGTCAGATGTGAGGAAAAAACTGAAAAGACTCCAGGATGATATGATCATGGCCTTGAAGTGACCTCTCATGGGGAAAATGGCATAGACTAGGAGCCAATGGAAGGCTGGGAATGGGGATGACTGAGGGAGATTTTTAGGTTCACATTAGGGAAAGTTCGCTGACTAAACTGAGATGACCTGCTGCTGGTAGGGAGCCCCTCGTCACAGGAGTTCTTGAAGCAGAGGCCGGGTGACCACGTTCAGGAGTGTTATAGGAAGGGCTCCTGATCAGATACAAGTGAATGAGTTGATTTCTGCAGTCCCTTCCAGCTGTGAGTTTTTGTAATTCTGGATTGTGGGGGTCAGAGACAAGGGCCTTGGAAACCTAGACTACAATGACCACCTCCCTACCCCTTTCTCCTCTCCAGTCCCCTCCATATAGCTCTGGGAGTTATGACTCCATCAAAACAGAGGTCAGTGGCTGCCCTGAGGACCTGACTGTGGGCCGGGCTCCCACAGCTGACGATGATGATGATGACCATGATGACCATGAGGACAATGACAAGATGAATGACTCAGAGGGGATGGACCCTGAACGTCTCAAGGCCTTCAATGTAAGTTCAGGCCTTAAGGTCCTTGCTCTCATGTCCCTTCTACCCTGACCTGGATCCTGGGTCTCACCCTGCTCATGCTAACCCCGGGCCGCTGTTCTTTCCCACCTCTCCTAGTGTGCCTTCTCTTGTGTCCACTCTCCCTGCCAACCCACCATATCTTAAGCGTTACCATTTTCCTTCCCCTCCTTCCAGATGTTCGTGCGCCTTTTTGTTGATGAGAATTTGGACCGCATGGTGCCTATCTCCAAGCAACCCAAGGAGAAGATACAGGCCATCATAGAGTCCTGCAGCCGCCAGTTCCCTGAGTTTCAGGAGCGAGCCCGCAAACGCATCCGCACTTACCTCAAATCCTGCCGTCGTATGAAGAAAAATGGCATGGAAATGGTAAGACCCCTCTTGCCTTCATCTCCCTCCCTGCCTTCCCTTTTTTGTTGTTTATTTCTCACCCTGTATTAATCACTCCCCACCTTCCTCTTTCCCCTTCTGCTTTTTCCTTTGAGAGGGGCACTGTGCTTTAATCTTCCCATTTCTTATAGCACTTTAGGGTTCCCAAAGCACTTTCTGATAATCACCCTGTGAGCTAGGGAGTCTTACCCTGTTTTTTGTCCTAGACCCCATACACAGTCCGGTGAAGCCCAGAGACTCCTTCTCAAATTATGTTTTTAAATGCATAGAATCAAATATGTAAGATTACAAAGGGAACCAATTATGTCCAAAGAGTTATCAACATATTTAAAGCAAAACAAGAATGACAAAGTGAAGTCCCTGGAACCCAGGTTAGGAATCACTGCAGGAGGGGCAGCATTATCTTCCTTTAGAGATGAGGAAACTCATAGATGTACCTTGGTGTAGTCTGGTAGAGTGGAAACAGTGCTAGCTCGGGAATCAGGGAACCTGGCTTCAAATGCCACCTCGTAGAACTATTATCTCTGTGACCATCACCTGCCTTGGCCCCACATTGCTTCTCTGTAAAATGATGGGCTTAGAAGGGCCCTTTTAGCTCTAGATACATAATCCAGTGAAGTGCATTGGCTTGCCTGAGCATAACATGATCAATAACTGGTCAGTACTGAAACAGAATTTTCCTGATTTTGAGGTTAGCACCCCCCAATACAGTCTTTCCTCACATATAGCAGTGGGCTTACAGCAAGGAGATTTGGGTTCCAGGCTTGCTCATTGGCCAGCTATGGGAGCTGGGCACCTTCTCTCTGAGCCTCGGTTTACTACTTCTGTTTTACAGGTCTGTTGTGGTGGAAGTGCTTTGTAAATTATAAAAATGTTTTAATCCTGTTAACGTTTCTCTTTTCCCTTTCTTGTCCCTCTCATACCTTCCTATGAATATAAATTGTTGCATTTCCCACTTTCACTCCCTTTTCCTTATCCAGACCTCCAAAAGTCTTCCCAAAGCTGGACCCTTATTCCCCATCAAAGATGGGGAAGGAATGCTCCTTACTGACACTTTCTCTCTCAGGCCCTCCTCTTCTCTGCTCCCGAAACCCCCTCCTTGCCCTCAGACATAGCCAAGAGATTTCATCCCAGAGCTCTGGACCTTGTGTCAGGACATCTGAGTCCAAAGCCCAGCTATAACTACAGGTCTGACTCTACAGATTTAAGTTATTTATGAGCCTCAGTTTCTTCATCTGTGTAAAACAAAAAACAACAACAAGTTTAGGGTTTAAACTAGATGATTTCCAAGGTCCCTGCCTGCATAAACACCCTTTGGTCTATTTTCTAAGAGCACTTCTATTGCTGACATCCCATGAGGCTGGGAGCATCCTAAACTGCCCTCTCTTCCCTAGACCAGACCCACTCCTCCCCACCTGACCTCAGCCATGGCTGAAAATATCCTGGCAGCCGCATGTGAGAGCGAGACAAGGAAAGCAGCCAAGAGGATGAGACTGGAGATCTACCAGACATCCCAGGTACGGAGTCAGGCCTGTCGAGCCCTGTGGGCTTAGAAGGCAGGAGACACGCACCATCCCAGCTAGAGTGACCAGCAGCCTGGGGACCTGTGCCAGCTGAAATGAGCAGAAGAAAGCTGATGAGAGAATGAAGAAGGGGGCGTAAAGAGCCAGGGTGGGAAGAAGGGGTAAAAAAGTAAACTGTATTAATGGGTTCCCAGGAATGAGCCATTCAGGAGCCATAAGGATGATTCCAGTGGAAGCAGGGACCAGGGCACTGGTCTTATCAAGTGCTGGCGGCTAGAGCATCACAACCAATTTAGTTGCTGCTGACATTCTGAGCAGGCCACTGGTGCCCTGTGAAGAGGAAATGCAGGCCAGGCCCACAGTGGAGAGCATGGGATTCAATAATAATAATAATGATAATAGCTCCCATTTTGCAGTACATCCGCAGCTTACAAATTCCTCCCTTGCGCCACCCCTAGGAGATAGTCTTATCTTTGTTTTACAGATGGGGGTTAGTGAAGGAAATGTTTCATAGGAACCAGAGGCTATGAAAAGGGAAATGGGCTCCCTGCTCCTTTTCCTCTCTGAATCTGACTAAAGCCTTTGGTCCCCTCGTGTAGGATGAGCCGATCGCTCTTGACAAGCAGCATTCCAGGGACTCTGCAGCCATCACCCACTCGACCTACTCACTGCCAGCTTCCTCATATGCCCAGGATCCCGTCTACATCAATGGCAGCCTGAACTACAGCTACCGCAGCTATGGGGCTTTGGGCAGCAGTCTGCAGCCCCCAACTTCCCTCCAGACAGGAAGTCACAGTAACGGTGAGGCTTGGGGAGGGGTAGCTCAAATCTGTTCTTATGATATAAACTCATAGACTGTCAGAATTGAAAGAGGCTCTAGAAGTGATTCAGTCTAAACACTTTATTTTACAGATGGGGAAACTGAGACCCAAGAGAGGGAAAGTGATTTGTCTAGTGGAACTGGCAGCACTGGGATTGATTCAATTCAACCAACTTTTATTAAGCATCTGCTATGTGCCAGGGACTATGCTAGGGATATAACATCCCCTTAAGGTAGGGAGGTGGGTAGTTGTAGCATTCCATCTTCTAGAATTAACCCCATTTTAGCAAATGAGGACCCTGAATCTCAGCAAAGAGAAGTGACTTGCTGGAGGTGGCAGAGCCAGTAAGGGACAGAATCACAGAGAGCCCCACCTCAAAGCCAGTGCTCTTTCTGCAAATCCGTCCAAGACTCGATAGTCCGTGATGTCCGGGTGGCCTCACCTCAGGGTGTAACACCCTGTGGTTTCCTCTTCTCCCTCTTGTTTTCTTCCTGAGGAACAAGATCTCCTCACTTCCCACCCCTGCTCCCGAATCATGCTTTTAGGATCTTATCAGATGCTCCCATCCATCACCTGAAGATGAGGGCTTGGGAAGGTAGCCACACAGCTGGATGTGGTGGTAAGAGACCTGAGTTACAGCTCTAGCTCTGTCAAGTATTATCTGTGTGACCTTGAGTAAGTAATTTACCCCTTCTGAGCCTTACTTTTCTCATCTCTTAGCTATATTTGCATTCTGTCCCTACTACCTAAGATTATTGTAGGGGGAAATGGTTTGTAAACCCTAAAATGATAGAAATGTGAGTTGGTGCTGTTAGGTTAAGTAGCACAATAGTCTCTTCTCTCCCTTCCCCTCAGCCCTAGAAGAGGCAACAGAAAAGAAACCTAGGCCAGAAGTCAGATCATCCATGTTGGAGTCCTGTTTCTTTGCCCCTAACTCTGTGTGCCTTGAGGAAATCATTCTTCTGTCCTGGACCTTGGTTTTTCCTCTAAAAAATGAGGGGGTTTGAGGGGGTCTCTGAAGTCCTTTCCAACTCCGCCGTTCTGTGGTTCCATAGATTCCTTCCCTCACCCTCTTCTAAGAACCTCCTGTTCCCAGGAGCATCCTCAAAGTTGGACTGTTCTGTGTAAGGCCTATGCTCCCTGCTCCAAGATGAGAGGGAGTGCAAAAACTGGAAGAAGCTCAGGAGAGGACAAGAGGCAAGACCCCATCATCTCTCCTCTAGCAGGCTCGCTGGGACTGCCTAATGTTAGGCTAAATTCACTTAGCCACTGGTTGAAGCAGGGGGGACAAGCCATTGTGAGATTTTCTCATCCAGTCTGGCTCCCCACCTCCGTTTTGTTTGATTTGTTGAACATTTGTCAAGAACCTCTTGGGTGCAAAGGTAAAAGTCATCTTCCTCCGATGCTTTGGCTGGGTGCGGAGGTGACTCTCTGAGGCTCTGTGAGGCTGTACCGGCAGAGCATGAGCTCTGGAAGTTTCTACACTAAGGGTAGGGCCCGGCTGAGCTCAGGGAGGCTCATTACTAGATGGGTCAATGTGGGCAGTCTCCAACCTATCGAGAGGCTGCAACTTGGTGCTGGGTCAGTGGAGGGAGCTCCATAGCAGGTGAAACTGGATTCTTGAAGAATGGATACAGGAATAGGTTATAGGCCCTGGGGAAGACACAGACCCCCTACCTGGCAGCCACTTGGCATAGCAAGGTAGGTACAGGGACACAAATAATAGTCATACAGTAAGCACTCTGATGGATGAATACATGGTGGAAGAGTGCAATGCACCCCCAGAGATCGGAGGATGGGAAGAAGTCTGAGGCTGGAGAGCTTCCTTGAAGGAAGGGGAAAATTTTAACAGGTGTGCCTACTCTAGGGCAGTGGGAAGCTTGCTTCAGGCCTAGAGGATCTCTTCTCCCATTTTTTATAGGAGGATAACATGGAAACCTCCAGGAGAGGGTCAGGGAGCTGGACTCATAGAAAGAGGCTCCTTCACTCGCTTCAGGTCCTGCACAGTTCCCGTGGTCCTCCTGCCTTTTTCCTTCCCAGCCTCCACTTTGGCCCAGTGGTCCCCTGGGTCCAAAGCACTCCTCTCCTGATTCATTGCAGGGGGATCAGGGAGAATATTTTGAGAGAGTCCACCCCGGTCTAATTGATCATTTCTACTCTCATGCCTTCACACTCAATTCAAACATTTATAGCTGCTTCCATTGTGCAAGGTTCCACAGTAAGGACACAAAGAAAAATGTCCTCCTCAGAGGGGCCCAAAAAGAAGAAGGGTCCTGCCCACCCTGCCCTGACTCCCAGAGCCGTAGCACCAGCCAATGAGCACAGCCAGTGGGGGGAATTTAAATAGGATTTCCAAGGCCAGTCTGCCCTTTCCCAAGTGATCCATTTCCATTCTTGGGTTTCTATTTGGTGCTGCTGACTCCTGTCCTGAGCATAAATTATAGGATTTAGAGCAGGAAGGGCTCTTAGACCAGAATATTAAAATGGACTGCCAAAGCTTGAAGGGTCCTTAAAGACTACATATTATAGGGGTTTTTAACCTGGGGTCCATGAATTTGTTTCTTTAATATTTTAATAACTGCATTTCAGTATAATTGGTTTCCTTTGTAATCTGATATGCATTTAAAACATGATTCTCAGAAGGGCCCCATAGACTCTACCAGATGGCCAAAGGGGTCCAGGACACAAAAGAGTTTAAGAACTCTTGACCTAGTTAAGCTTCTGTGTTTTATAGAGAAGGAAACTGAACCTTGGAGAGGTTATGTGACTTACCCACAGTCATACAGGCTTTGAACCTTGGGCCTCTGACTCCAAATCCATTGCTCCCCTACTATTGCAGCTAACCTCAATGTACACATACTTGTCATGGAGTATGTCACCCATCAGTGCCATGGAGCCAAAAACTGAATTTGGTATTTTAGAGGAGTCCCCAGTTAGAATTAGCTTACACAGTTCAACTAGAAAAAAGTAACTTGCCTGAGGTCATTCAGCCCTAAGAAATTACTTCTTCCCTGCCCATCCATGAGGCTGTGAGGTAAGTCTGAGCTCTTGTAAATGCCCTTTGGAGATGACTTGTCCTTTCTCTCATGTTATAGGGTAGAAAGAGGTCTGGGCTAGGAGTCCAGAGGTCTGAGTCCTGCCTCCACTAGTGAGCCATTATGTAATGGACTGGGTAATTCACCACTCCTCTCTGGACCTTGGCTTTATCATGTATAAAATGAGGGAAGCCCTACCTGATCTAGGTCCCTTCTTTTGTCACTAATCTCTTTGCCTTGTTTACCCCATTCCCTTGGTCCTTCTATAAGTATCCTCTGATCTCCGTCTTAATTCTCTTTTGAAGGGGCTCCCCTCACCCCAGGCCATGGCAATAAGGCCTGACTGGATCCAACTGCAGACTCAGATACAATTTCCCCATCCCTGCTTACTCCTGTGTCTCCTTACCTCTTTCCTAAGGAAATACAGGTTAGGGAATACTGCTACTTATATGGCCTTCCCCAGACATGGTTGCTTGGGACGGTTTTGGCTTAAGGAGGCTTTTCTCTGGTGATGAGCGAAGGCTCCAGGACTCCAGTACCTTCTTTTGATTCATGTTTTCAGGTCATTGATGAGGAGGGTGGAGGCAGCCATCACTCTGTTTTCTTATTCTCTCACTCACAATTCACTGGGAGGGGATGGGGGATGGGTTTGAGGGCAGGCAAGTATAATTGCATATGGGTCAGGGGTAGAACTGGTCACTCAAAGCACCTTTTCTTCCTTTTGTACCTCGCCTCATACTTCATCAAAAAAATTAAAGCCATTCACATCAAGCCTCTACTTTCCCTCCCTCCTTCTTATCTCTCATTCCCCTGCTGCCATTCCCTACTATTTCCTCCTTCACTCTAGTTTCTGATGAGGAGGTGGCCCTCTGTCCTTGCCGAGGCCAATCCCTCTACATACACCTATCCCCTGCCATCTTCCCCAGGAAACTACCCCCCTTAATTTCCTTCTCTAATCTTTAGTCTCTCTCTGTAACTTCATTCCATGATGTTTGTAAACACCCTTACATTTCTACCATTCTTAAAACACCCTCATTAGGTTCTGTCATCCTGTATCTTGCCTTCCCTTTTCAGCTAAACTCCCAATAAAAGCCATCTACTCTCTGTTTCCACTCTCTCTTCTGCAGTTTGGCTTCTGACTTCATCATGCCACAAAACTGCTCTTAATTACCAAACCTGATGGCCTTTTCTCAGACCTTGTCCTTAATTTCTCTGCAGCCTTTGACACTGCTAATCCCCTTCACCTTCCCTCTTTCCTGGAGAGTCTCTTCTCTCTATGGCAGCTAGGTGGCGCAGTGGATAGAGTACTGGGCTTGGAATCGGGAAGACTCATCTTCCCGAGTCCAAATCCAGCTTCAGACACTTACTAGCTGTGTGATCCTGGGCAAGTCACTTAACCCTGTTTGCCTCAGTTTCCTCATTGGTAAAATGAGCTGGAGAAGGAAATGGCAAACTGCTCCAGTATCTCTGCCAAGAAAATCCCAAAGGGGGTCATGAAGAGTCAGACACGACTGAGAAATGGCTAAAGAACCACTTTTTCTGGTTCTTGTCTTACCTGTCTGACCATACATCCATCTCCTTTGTGGAATCTCCCAAAGCTCTATCCTAGATATTTTTTCCCCACTCTGTACAATCTCATTTGATGATCTCATCAGTTCCCATGGTTTGTTTTAACTCTGTACATGTGATTCTCAGATCTATTGATTTAGCCCTAATCTCTTTCCTGATTTCCTCATCGTCAGCTACCTTTTGGACATTTCAAACCAGATGTGTCCTGTCGGCATCTCAAACTCACTGTGCCCAGAACTGAACTCTTTATCTTTTCCTTCAGGCCATCTCCTCTTCTATACTTCCCCATTGCAGTCAAGGGCAGTGTCACCCTCAACAACCAGTCAGTCACCAAATACTGTTTCTTTCTCCACAGCATGTATCTCTCTTCTCTCCA